CAAAGAGGTGCTTCAAAGGTATAAAAGTTTCTCAACTCTTTTCTTTAAGATTTGAGTTGAGTCTTGGTTCACCACAACTACTAGGCCTTATATTTTATGGGTATAGTTTTGTTTTTGAGTGCATACAAACATGATTCCGCCTTTAATTGTTAATTGCATGCATAGATGTTGCTCAAATGAACTTGTTTTTCACAAATTTATTCCTTCATGGTACGATGTGCATGTACACATGAAAGACTGGCCCTGACTCGGGCGAGTACTAACATCGGTGCAGCAAACGATGAGCAGATAACACAAATATAGTCATGCCCTAGTGATTCGATAGTTCTAATCAACATAATATCATTCATATCCGTAACTATAATTATGGTATCAATAATAATACTTATACCTGTGCATCCCGCAGGACGTAGCATAACTTCTTAATTTCTATCAATGTGCTAAATCTTATAACCGTCATGCTAATCTAGGCGTATTGTAGAAAACTCTTTATGAAATGTATAAATGAAAACTAACAATTATATATATATATATATATATTATATAAAAGAAAAGACCCACTCACAGTTGCTTACGATGTCACATCTGTTTGAGTTAGGAAGCTGGAGTTTCCGATAGTAATTGCACCTAAATATAATATTGTGACCCATTAATAAAACTCAATTAAAACGCTTGAATTTGGAGAAACGGACGACAGATTTGGAATCAACGTGTCGACAACAGATTTGGAATCAACGTGTCAAAATACTCTAAGGAGGGTCTCGGGCAATTTTCGTAAAAAGTCAACGGTTAACTCTAAGAGTCAACCGAGACGCCTCGGTGGTCAACTACGTTAACACTTTATAATTTCACTCAATGGGTGCCAAAAAGGGACTCGGGACGTCGAAATTATCCTAGGAGGGTTCCCGAGAAAATTCCGAAAAAAGTCAACCTAAGGAATATTTTGAGCCCATTTCAGAAATGGGTCGGGCTGGAACAATGTGCAACATGCTTAGGCTTAGGCCCCTTTTTTTATTTTATTTTATTTTTTTTTGGGCGATTGCCCTGCAACCGCCGAAGACTGGAAGAAGAAGGCTGGAACTGGGCTGAGTTTGGCTGGAAAAGTTCCAAAGGCCCTAACTAGTTCATTTCTCAACCAAAATCAGAAATTCAAAAGCCAAAGTAAAGCTCAAGAGTTAAGGAATTGAAATATACCAAAGTGAGGTTGAGCCAAGGTCGGGATCGGCCAGAAAAGGACTGCAAATTTTGGATAGTTCACTGAAATCTGGGAAAAAGTTCCCTCGATATCTCTATGTAGTTCCACCGTCCAAAATTACATAAACACGATCATTAACAACCACGAGGATAAAAGAAAGGGGTTCAGAATGTCCGGATGCTTACCTAAGCCGTGAATGGCGAGATTGGGCGGAGATGGTGGTGGTCACGATGTCGCTGCATAGTGAGGTGAGGGAGGAATTTTGCAAATGTTTTCCTTCATTTATGGGTTCATAGAACTCACAGAGGTAAGGTTGTAACGATTTTGCTGGTGGAGCTCGCTAGAAAGACGAAGGTGATGGTGGTGTGATTTCTTTGTACTTGCAGAGAGAGAGGGCCGAGATAAAGAAGTCGGGAGAGGAGAGAGCTAAGAGGGTTAAAAGAAGAAGGTGAGGTGGCAATCATCTAATGGAGGATAAGATGAGGGGGATTTGAAAAGTGAGAGAAAAAGTGTCCCGAGGTAGGGGGACACAGGAGAGGTGAAGGCATGGGGTGTGGGGTCCACATGTCTCACAAAACAATACAAAATATCTCTAAACATGAAATTACCAACTTGCCCTTGGTATACAATGTTTCATAAAATTTTAACCGTAATTCCAATTTCAATTCCGCTTGCGCCTACGCGTTCGTACCTTCGAGAATTTTAAGAATACGATAAAATAGTAACTTGTACGAGTCACGAAAAGGCGGTCAACAAAAGTCAACAATCTAAAGTAGCCAAATGGACTGAGAGAGCCCACCTGTTGGAGATGCTCTTATAATATAAGAGGTTAATTAATTACACTAACAAGGTTTATCATTTTTTCAAAAAATTATTTCATGTTTGGTAAATTACACTAACACTCTTAGTTTCAAATCTTCAAGATATAAATAAAAGAATAATGTACAACTATGTTCTCAGAAAGAAAGGTACTTATGTATACGAAACTAACTCCCTGCATTATTAGAGCATCTCCAAAGGAGATATCAAATTGTCCAAATCATTAATAACGGTAACAAAAGACAGCATTAATGTTTTCCAACCGAGAAGCCAAATTTGATGTGACATGACATGGATTGACATCTCTCCCCTTTGCTGCCAAATTTGACAGCACCTTCAAATTTTTTTAAATTAAATATTAAATGTTTTTTATTAATTTTTTATTAGTTTAAAGCATTATCCTTTTGTTTCTTTTCATTCCCAATGCAAAGAAAGTACATGAATTATTATTTTATATTTAAAATTTGACATATCGGTTGGAGAGCAAAAGCTTAAAAGATGTCAAAGTGCCATGTAAGCCTTCAAATTTAAATTTTAGGTTTAAAATTTGAAATCTCTCATTTGGAGATGGTCTTAGGAACTAATATAGAGATAATGGATGAAAGACCTCCACATTAATTAACCATAGTTGTTAAACAACTTTAGAGAAGATAGCTACCTCCACTAACCCATGTGCATTGTCAAATGAATCTTTCTAAATCACAATTTTCTTTTTAATTAACCCTTAAATATTTTCCTTCTCTATTCATTGAGGAAAAATAAGGAAGAAAGTATTATTTGATCAATCTAAAATGAGGAAATTGTAGTAATGGTCCCTCAACTTTAATTCAATTGGAGTAATGGTCTCTCAACTAAAAATTCATGACCATTGATTCCTTAACTCATCAAAATGCCCATCTATGGTCCTTTTCATTAACTCCATTTGAATTTCCGTCAAAATAAGTCACATGCCATGCATGTGAGGCTGAATTAAGGGGCAAATATGAAAAATCAAATGAGAAAAATTGTAGTAATGGTCCTTTAACTTTAACCCAATTGGAAAATCGTCCCTCAACTTTACCCAATTGGAGCAATGGTCCCTCAATTTTATCCCAATTGTAGCAATAATGCTTCCAATATGACTCATTTTGATGAAATTCTGATGGAGTTGACGAAAAGGACCATAACTGCACATTTTGATAAATTAAGGGACCAATGGTCAATTGAGGGATCATTACTCTAATTAGGTTAAAGTTGAGGAATCATTTCTACAATCTCTCATCTAAATTACATTCAACACTTAGAATGATGCTATTTGGAGACACACACACATAGACACATAGATATACATATATATAAAGTTGATATCATCAATTTCGGCACATTCTCTAAAAGAGTGAGTCACATTATAGAAAATACCTGCATGAACAATAAAACATGTCAATGATAATGTTAATTTTGTGTGTCTACGTAAATCTATATTGTATGCAAAATGGAGCAAGGAGCAATTGTTCGGGCGAAGATTTCTCCAAAGAGGGCTCCTCGGCACTCAACACAGCTCCCTAAGGGATTGGCACTTTGGATGTGAAGTCTAGCTCTTGCCTACTAATGTACTGCAAGAGGAGGACAAAGTTAGTTTTGAAAGGTGCCTTTGTAGGGCCTTAGGTGTAGGCCTTGAGGCTTGCAATCAAAACTAAGTGCTAGGCATGTCACTGCTATCTCAGTATAGTAGATGTAGAACAAGATTGTGCTTAGTCGATTACTTGCGTCCCAAGTTACTCGGACTTCTTGTTATCAAAGAATTGTCGTGGATGAGTTAAGCACACATTAAGTCCTTTTTCTTGCCTTGTGATCAAAGACTTTCAGTTCATAGTCTTGTATATTCGAAAGCACTTGGAGGGTAGTGACTCATCAGCTTTTTACTTGTATTGCCACTGAAAAGTGCTTTTTAGCTGATTGTGAGTTAGTCCCCATCACTTGACATTTAAATCATAGGCACATGGCCAATGCATTAATGAGAAGGCGCCAATTTGTCATTGGGCTTGATGCATGGGCTTCGGGCAAGTCTCCCTTCTAATTGACATTTCTAGGCCATCACACACTTGCAGCCTAATGTTCAAATATTAACCCAAACAATAATATTTCTTTTTTTTTTTCTTTCTTTCTTTCAATATCACTTCAAGATAAACCAGTCTTTTTACTTTGACATAGATGCATCCCATTGCAAAGCCTTGACCAGTAGCTATCATCTAATTGATTCTAAGCATTTCATGTTCGTGCATGCATGCATGGGATCTCAAGAATTTTCACGTTAATTTGGTTGTAAAAAGAAACGGACAATAATGCATATTAAGTTAGTCAAAGAGAGCAACTTCCATGCAGAAATCCATGCCATGTAAGTCGTCCAACTTAGAAATGTGTTGTCACATTAATCAAGTCATTCCACATGATATCACCTAGTATTACAGGCGCTCATGACATGCTTAATATTCCATCCATGGGAGGGGGTGGATGGATATTACTTAACCTCCACGAAATTAATGTGTTCGGAAAAGGATATTACTATCATCCCTCGAGACAATATGTTATTACCATGGTAATTAAATCAGATTAATTTGGTTACGCCTAGGGATGAAAGATGTATTTTTGCATAATTTATGTGTATAAAAAGTGCATGTCACTCTGCCTAAATCACTCAATTACATTCAACACTAGTGTGTTTCTTCTCTCATAGCCAGTGACCAATAGAAATAGCTATCGCCCAAGACTGAGTTCCTGCAGGTTTTACTGCAATGGCCCTCGGTTACATGGCAGAAGAACCCCCTTGCGTCTTCCTGCAGCTGCTCAACATATGTTCACCATACACGGAATGTGGCCGACAAATTTCTCAGCAATAGTAACATGCACTGCTCCTACTCAAGCTGCAAAGTTTAACATGAATCCGGTATCTATGTTAATTCATGCTTCATTTCCCAAATATTCTTACAACTTCATCGATTCTTTTTAATATTGTAGCTATGACCAAAATCTAAGTAACTTTTTTAATTATAATAATTAGTTGAGAGGAGATCAGCAATTGCTAAGAGACATGGATATCGAGTTAGTATATATAAGAGCGTATTTTAAGAAAGAATTAAACTACATGAGAATAAAGACGAGATGCTGACAAATTTGGTACTAAAATAAAGCCTAAACTGCTCCACTTGACTCCCATGATCAGTAAGCTACAAAAAAGTAAACCTGCTCAGGCTGCTCTCAACAAGAAAAATCCAAACGAGAACATAAAATATTCAAAACATTCTCCTACACTCTAGTCAAACGTTAATGAAGGAATGCAACAGTGTTAACACGGTAAAGCATTTAAACCTAGGCGGACCTGAAATTCTTGATAACATATTCAACATTCCACAACACAAACAATTAAAAAAGAAAGATGGGTGGCTGTGACATGAACGGTAACCTGTATGAGGAGAAGTTTAGTGCACCAATGCCTTGGATTGGCATGTATGTAGCAGCAGCATCCTTGGCCTGTCTGATTGCAATGGCTGCAGATGTAATCCTCGGCATCTGGCACCATAAGTACTGGTTTCCCTGCAAGTTCTTCTCCATTAATGCCACATCTCTGACCTTGATAGGTGTAGCCATCAAATTGTCGGTGGATCTGAACACTGCCATGCCCAACCGTCACGACCAGCTTGCAAAGCTTAGCAGTTCTGCCTTGATCTGCACAGCAATGGCTAACTCCATGCCGTCTCTTGGAGCCATGGAAAATGAAGAGATGTTCATGAATGTAATTGCCTTGGGAATTCTAGTCATCACCCTTATTGTCAATATTTGCATCCAATTAGCTACCGGTGCAATCTTTGTTTTCTGGAAGGAGCACGCTTCAGTTATGTTCATCATGCTTGTTTTGCTCCTCATGCTGATTTTCTCGGCTTTAACGGTTCCAACAACAAAGAATTATTTAGAAAAAGGGTACAAGAAAAGATACCAATTATCTTCAAAAGAATGCACAAATGCAAGTGGTAGAAAAGAAGTTACCAAACTCAGAGACACATTGACAAAGCTTTGGCTGATGGCTCACACCTCTAGCCCTCAATTTGTGATGGGCAGGTCAGTGACATGCACTGCTTCTGGAGCTTTCTGTCTTTTGAGTGCCATGATTTTGGCCCAAGCCATGTTTAGAACATACTTGATGCCATGGTCCATTAAGTTTTGCAGCGGGGAATCAGACTACAAATTGACAACCACTTTGATTCTATTTACGCAAGCAGTTGCAGTAGGAGTTGGTACTATTTCCCCGGCGTTTAGATGGTTCATCGCCATCAACTTTAAGTGCCCGAAAAGAGGAAATATAAGCTACAGAAAAGAATTCGAAATAGAAAGGTACTGGATTCAGGGGCTTGCGGAGTTGAAAAAGTGTCCATTAACTTTTAGAATCAAATCTCGGGACTGCAGGAAACTTGCACATGAAGCAAGAAACAAACTTTTGGACTTGTGTATTGCAATGCAAACGGGGATTGTCCTATCAAGCAAAGCAATTCGATCAATTTCCATTTTCTTGGTGAGTCGAATCTTTTTACTCAGCGACTTGTTCAGGGAGTGGAAGAACAAGAAGTTGGAATTCGACTCCATCCCAATGTCCCAGAAAAACCCAAGGCAAGATCTTAGTAATTATGTTCTGTATCTTGAAGGTGAGGATGCGTTGGTTCATTACATGATGAATTCCAACTGTGATGCTACTGATCATTGGACTCAGAAGGGAATGAAAGAAGAACCCAAGCATCTCATTAAGCTGTTGGAGAAATTGACAGCCTCACAAGGATTCAAGGGAGTGGCAGAGTTTGACAGTGATCAAGTTCCCTCTCTACAATGTGAAGAACCTCCAAATTGTTGGGCTCTTCCCGTTGTGACACTAACAAGTATTGCACTTGCACTTCCAAACATCGGTTCTGGTTCAATCGAAAATCTGATAGATGGGGTACATGAAGGGCTCATGTACATGAATGCTATTGAGGAACAGCTGGATAGCAAAGGAGTTCTTGCCAACATCAGAAAGGCGGCAGAGGTCGTGTGGCTAAGAGTTGATCTATATCACACATGGCTAGATTTGGATCTCAGAAAATTGTCACGTCAAGGGAAGAGTCTAAAGGAAACACTTGAAGAACTTTCTGAGACTGCAAAATCCATATTTGAAGAATGTAGAAAGCGGCGGATGAGTAAGGAGAATGTGTGTTCGAGAGATATCCCTTCCAAATGGTCTGTTAAGGAGCTTGCCGCTAATTCCATGTACAGGATAAGCCAAACTCTTCTGCTAAATCCTGATGGCCAAATCAATGAATCAAGTGAGAGATTGTATGAATCAATGGTTGTGATGATCTCTGACATAATGGGTGCGTGTCTAACAAATTTACAGGAAGCTATGGCAATCAAGTGTTTTAACAGCACAATTGAAGAGAGGGAGGAAAGTGTGAGACTTGCAGTTCACGTTCTTGGTAAAACTGAAAGGATTCTTTATATTGTGGAACCTGGTATTCCTTCAAATTTGGATCATCACCAAATGGCATGCATTGATGAGTGGCGTTCGGCACGGAAACCCCAGATAAATTTCAAGGCGTGCACATCATTTCCAATATCCGAGAGTGACAGGGATTCTTCGGCAGGCTCAAGTGATCACTTTTACCTGACGATGGATTAGGTTTTCTAGGCTGCTGTACTCTAGCATAAATAGGCTATTAAAAGACTCTTGTATTCAGCTTTTCATCAATAATATTCCAGAATTTAGATTCAAGTGTTCTCTTGGGATTTTTCCCTAGAACTCTGTTAATTCACTTCCTACTACGATTTGGCCCTATTTTACCCGCTGGACAGTTCCTACTGCCTTGCATCAGACTCTACAATTAAAACTAGTTGAAACATCTTTTAACTATACGTAAATTATCCTTAAAACTAGTTAAGATCATAGCATACAGAAACAAGAGGCTCAAGTTCAATGCATGCTAATTAAGCCACCTCAAACTGTTCAAAATTACTAAATTTAGGACATTATCTGCATATAGGAAGGATGAGCGGCTGAAAGAATTCGTTGACTACGTATCCCATTGCAAACAGATATCCATTCATCGATGGTGTCTAATACTTTTGCAATACCGTCACTCGAAACATCAAGACTCGACACTGCCGAGCTAGATCGTTTTACTTGCAGCCTTTCCTCACAAGCCTGTGACATATATTTTTCATGCATGGGAACAAGAGAAGAAAATTACAATTAAGTAGATTATCATTTACCAACTAAAACGCTTTCCCCAACTGACCAAAATGCAATCACATTACTAATCTTGGCAAAGACCCAACCTAAGCCATAAGCCATTGATAGGAATTAAATTTTTGTTTAGAGGAAAAAACAGAAGAATAACCAAGTTTCAACAACATACCATTTATCTACAATAGATCTCAAGGTCCACCTTCATTAGACTGCAAAGCGACAACGTTCAGCATAGAACACACTCTTTGTGATGCATGTGTAAATTATATAGAGAGCAAACACTTGTTTATAAGGTTAAGGTGTTATGGAGTGATGAGGAGGTTAAGATTAACTATATGGTGGGTTTATCAGGAGTTGTATAATGAAGAATATTAGCCTCAAGCAATCTCGATATAACTAGGACTGTCTTAGGCTCTTTGCTGATATGTTTGACTAGAGTTTTCACGGTGATAAGGTTAGTATGATAAGCATCACATAATGGGAAGTGTCCTTATTGAACTCCACTGTGTATTGTGTAAAGCTGGGGCCTGCACTCTCACAATACGCGCAAATATTCCTAAAATGAGTGTTGCAGAGATGAGAATGTTTCGTTGGATGTGTGGGCACATGAGAAAGGACAAGATTAGGAATGAGGATATTCGAGGTAAATTAGGACTAGCTGAAATTGAAGATAGATGAGAGAGAATCGGTTAAGGTGGTTTTGTCATGTGAAACGAAGATGCTCCGATTAGAAGATGCAATCACGAGATAGAGGCTCAAGGCCAAAGGGGTAGGGGAAGACCTAGGAAGACTTGAAGAGAGACTCTAAGAAAAGACTTGGACTATTTGGATCTAACAGAAGAAATAGCACAAAGTTCTAGGATTCATATAGTCCACCCCACTTAGTGGGATAAGGCTTTGTTGTTGTTGTTGTTGTTGTTGTTGTTGTTATTGCAGATTAAGAACTGACTGCATATTATCTGGGAAGGACATGCACGAGCATGTGATGGCTAAAGCCATTCTTATTCGTATATGTTCATCACAATATGTATGTCAGCGACGGCACTTGAATTCTAAACACGGACACTGATCCTCTAAAGAAGTTAAGTTGTTCATGTTTAAATTTTAAGTGGCACACCACTTTGTAAGTCGATACATGAATCAAATATCATTATCAGATCACAAAGGTCTGTAATTATAGTTAAAGAAATTCATGTATCAGCTGCAAGGGTGTTGTGATTAAAGAAAATAATTCACATTTTTCATCCGTCCAAACATGTTGATTTTTTGATATGTAGTTTTGGGGAATAAAGATTAATACTTTGAATGATATATGTGCTTTGACAGCAATGAATCCTAGCTCCATGAACCTGAACACAATTGAACCACTCACTGGTATCAACTATAAGAAATGGAAGCAAGATCTTGAGATCGTGCTGGGAGTTATGGATTGGGATTTAGCACTAAGGAATGAAGAACCACCTGTGCCAACAGAAGACAGCACATCGAGCCACTGACTTGGTCCTAGATACTCTTCGGAACGAAGTGGAAGAAGGGAAGAGATTCTCGAATGAGAAAAAAGGATCCAATGACTTCAATGGGATCTTGTATTTTCTGTGATACAAGAATTCTTTTTATTTATTTATTTATTTATTTATTATTATTATTATTTTTTTCTTAAAATTTTTTTTATTATCTTTTTTTATTAAGTTAAACTCAGTAATATCTATATACACTATAGAATTAATGGTTGACATAAGAGACAAGGAGCTATAAATATTTTACTTTATCTCTATTTTTATCTGAGATTTTATTGTTTTTTTATCGGATTTGTTTATGCAGAATCTAATCAATTAGAATTTTAATTTTTTTTTTGTTATTTTAATGTCTTGATTGGTTTGGATTACATTGTGCAATTTAGTCTTTTTATTTTTATTTTTTTTAATTTATATTTACTGAGATTCTAATTGTATTTGCACATTTTAATTAGGGAAATTTTATTCAAACCCATGTAACCTCTTTCTACACCCAACTTAAATTTTAAATGTTAATTGTTTGTTTTATCATCTTGCATATTACCATCAAGTACAAGATGAAATTAATAATAAAACTACAATTTATCAATAAACCCACACATTATAATTAAACGATACCATCACTCATTGTTTATCTTACGTTCATTCCGACTAAAACCCTAATAACTCTTATACAGAAAAATAAGTTTTTTTTTATCGATGGCTAAAACCGTTTTTCCAGCAAGGATGGAGGAGTTGGATGAACCAACATCTCACTCTCAAACCATTCGAATTAAATAAACAACATATAAAACAAGCAAAAGCCTTGAAGAAGTACCTAAGTTACAGGCCACATCTTTTACGTCAATTGTCAACAACCTTCTATAATCATGGTTAGGTGATGTGCTCTGGACTCAAATCATCAAGGAGTCCCCTCAAAATAAAAGGACCTGCATGAAAACTAGGAGAGAATTTATAGTCAATACGAATCGAAGTTCAGCACTGTGTTCAACATTGCCGGCCATGAACGCTCTATAGCTTCGTGAAAATTTTCCTCCCCTTTCTTGCCTCAGATATTGCAATTGCATCTGTGAGCAGGTACATAGGACCTACAAGATTTTTGACTTTCGAATTTCTTTGAAAACAAAACTACTTAGTTCGAAATTTTGTTTTATAAATGGGTGTAAAGAGAAATTAACATTTTGAATTGGGTATGGGAGGACATTTTAGGTAATAAATTTAGGTTTAAAGAGAGATTAATTCTTTAATTAAAAATAATATGGGTATAGAGAGTAAGTTGGGTGTAGAAAGAGGTTACATGAGTTCAAATAAAATTTCCTTTTTAATTATTTTATTCGGATTGCTAACTCAACAGTAGAGTACAAATTTTAATTGCGGCTAGTATCTTTTACACACTTGTATGAAGCAAAAGATTCGTCCATACCATCAGTAGAGTTTGTAAGACCATGATGGATCTTGAAAGGAATGAATGGGCGTTGTAATTCTTTCTACTTCTCGAGGTATAATGGTAGACCAAAAGGCTCGACTAGAAGGAATCAGAGGAGAAGTTTTGTGTTATATATGGTAATCTTTCTAATAGCCGACATGGCCATATTTGTGAAAAGAGAGAGAGGACAAGTTTATAATATTACCCCTCTTACATTAGTTGATACTTCAAAGCGATTTTACCTGGAATGAAACAACAAAAACGGATTGATGAGGGTGTAATTACTAAACAACTTACCAATGGTATGTATCTTTCGGATTCATTTAGATAACAAAAAAATTATTTTGGTTTTTGTTTCGTAAAGGATTCCATGCAATTTTATACATATACTAGCAGGAAATAGACTAAAAGTTGAGGTAAGTCCTTTTGATTCAACCAAATGGTGTATAATTTAGAGACTCCAAAGCCAAGACTTGAATGATTAGGTGGTTTTTTATTTCATCATTCTTTCATGTTCAAAGGTAAAATTTCAAGAAACTTATTTTCTTCCAATAAGTAGATTCGGAATTAAGAAAAGGAATGACAAATATGAAAATGAGGGCCTCTGTTCATAAAGTTTATGAAAAATGTCGATTGATCCATAGGCGGGGACGACTTATAGTAATTTCTAATTTGTTCTAACCTGAGACATAAACAAGGACAAGGATAATCTTTCTAAAACAAAAAGAATCTCGAAATCTAAACAATCCGATGTACAAATGTAAAATAAATAAGTAAAAAGAAAAGAAAAAAGGATCCGTTTTGACATGAAATGACACACTCCGAATTGAGTTGTGCTGGCCGACATTGGGAGGGTGACGAAGCCATAAAGTGTAGTGATGTGGAAAATGTGAGTAAATTTAAACCTAAAAGTGTCTAAATGGAAAAGTTCCCATGTGAGCGGGAATGAACCCATTTTACACGTGATGTTAGAGCATAAGTAAAGTACAGTTGAAGTAGAATGAGAATTATACCATCGAAGGTACTCTTCTATACCAACTTTTTCCAAGAATCCTCATGAACACAAAAGCTCTGCTACTAAAACTTGAAGGGGCAAAAAACAAGGGTGAGTGGGCCCAAAAATAAAACTTTTGTAAAACCTTTTTGAAAGCATAATAACCCCTCGCCGTAAAATCAGTATAGTTTCTAGATATATATACTACATATAGCATGAAAATACTTACTGTAGCCAGCAATATCACAAGAATGCAATACATCGCAATATTGCGTGAATAAACACAGGACGACCGATATCACATAATCTCACATAAACAAACATGTCATATCAAGTGGCTTATCGACATATGCTGGCATATGAGTTCATGCAAAGATATTCTGACATGACCAAGACTGGGTGTAATAATCATTTACGCTCTAGTACTATAATTATGTGAAGACTGGCACTATGCATATCACATACGAGTCCTAATCTACAATGGATCCAAAGTGAGCATGCGGTATGACGTGAACATATACGTGAAGCCTGACACTGGGCCCGGCGAATACTAACACCAGTGTAGCATACGATGAGCAGATAAGGTAAATATGATCATGCCGCAATAATTCAATCATTCTAGTCAATATAACACTATTCCTGGTCGTAAATATAATTAAGGAATCCCCTTATGGTACAATTACATGTGCATCCCGTAGGATTATAATGATTTCCTAATTCTCATCATTACGGCATTTCTTATAAGCATTAAATAATTATGGCAACACATAAAAAATTCGTTATTAGATGTATATATGGAAAGTAAACACACACACACACACACACTATATATATATATATATATATAAAAGAAAAGACCCACTTACAGATACTTGCGAGGTCGCAACCGTTCGGACTAGAGAATATGCTAAGAAGGGTCCCAGGAAAATTTCGTAAAAAGTCAACGGTCAACCAAAATGTCAACCGAGACG